CTTCTTTTGAAATAATATTTTCATTTTGACTAACCTTTTCAATATATTTTTGTTCTTTATTCTTTTTCAAATATCTAATTGTATCAACCAAAGACATTCTTGTTATTTTTTATTTTATCAAGTTCTTCTTTAAATATTATCTTAATTTATTTAACCTATTCTTCTATTCATTAAAACCAATACTCTTAAGAATTATCTGTAATCATTCACAAATTTTTAAAGTTATCTTTCTATTATTTACCCTTCTAATCATTATCAATTAACTATAATTTGTTTTATTATAATAATCTATCCAATAACCATCTTATTCAACTCCTCAAACAAAATACCAAAGTTCTTTTCTTCTTTCTTATCTTATATCAATGATTTTCTTTTCATTTATCTCTCTTAACAAGAAAGTTATTTTTCATTTTAAAAATAATCTCCATAGTCAATACACACTTTTAAATTGGCAGTTATGACATTTATTTTAAACCAACAAATTTAATCCTTACCTCCATCAAAAAATCAAATCTAAAATAGAAAAAAAGAAAAGAATTAGAGAGAAGAGACTTTGATTGTACAATCAGCTCCACAAGTAAAGATCTTTCCATCTTCATCAATGAATACATCATTGACACCAAGTGGATGAAGTCTTCCTAATGTTGTGATTGCTTTTGTTTCAACATTCAAGACATATGAATATGAATCTGCTCCTGCTGTAGCAATCATTGTATTATCTTTATTAAATTTAATTTTTAAGACTTTTGAATTATGAGGAACCCATCTAGAATAAATAACTTCATTAGTTTTAGCATCTCGAAGTATAATTTTTCTTGTATCATCTGAATGAATGAAATATTTACCATCACTTGAATAGTCCATACTATAAACTGTTCCTTGAATATCTTCTTTAATTTCTCCTTTTTCTGTTATTTCTCCATTTCCATTAATTGAATAAAATTTAATACATCCTTCATTTTTTAATCCTACACTAAGTATACTCTTATCTCCATTTATTGCAATTGTTGCAACTCCATTATTATGACCAATACTTTGAATAATTTGATTTCCTTGAATAACTTTAATTCCTTTATTAGTTCCAACATATATTCTATTATTATAGAATACTCCACAATTTGCTGG